ATTACTACCTTTTCTAGAAAGTTGGATTACAGTCGGAACAAAGAACAGGCAGAAAATTAAAGGTAAAGTGCATCTAGAATCTTTTCTCTTTTTTTGTCACGCAACCGCAATAAATAAATAAATAAGAGAAGTTCCTAATCATTGACTACCCAGCTTGAGCCGATCTAAAGCTGTAACTGGCCTGAGCATTTCACAAGCTTCGCTTTTGGTTTTGTGGCAACTCCGATTCTGTTTTTGTCTTGTTACCGCAGTGAACTACAAAATAAGTTGTCGCCGTTTGACCGTGCGTCAGTTGAACTTCCAACAAAAAAAAAAATCTTGAGTCATTAAATATTTAACTGCCGAGAAGTTCGTGCAATTTTCAGGACAATTTGTCCGTGGAAGGTCTGCGTGAATACGCAAGCAGAAGCTCTCGGTCGGAATGAAACATTTTGCCTCTTTCTCCTTTAAAAATCTAACCCTATTAATGGGCTGATATTTCAGCACGTAAAATGTCCATATGAAATATCTAATATCCTTTGCTGATGTCACAGGGGTGAGTTTCAAAGTTGATTCCCTTGATTAAACCAGGTTGGGGTGTGAATAATTCATCTAAAAAGTAGTGCTCCTCCTATTGATGAGACTGTGACAAATTTTAACATTTTCTAAAGGTGCGATGTTACACAGAGAAACGGTTTAGCCTTACGGGCTTAAAATATCCATTTACGGTCTTTATACTTCAGTCTGCGCAAGAATTTTCGCTCTTTAATAATGATATAGCTGATAACAAAGATTATCTAATGAAGTAGCTTACAATAATTATCCTATTCCCTGAAAAATAAAAATAGATGGATAACTGAAAGCTTCTGATTTATTTTTATAAGCAATTTCTTTGGTAACGTACTTAGTTCAACCCACTATGCGCATTTTTTAACCAGAGGAAAAAATAGTAGAATAATGAATTATATTACTTCCTTTCATTCCAATCATGTGCTAAGTGTGCATAATAAACGTTTAGTGACTAAAACATTGATCATGATCAATTACTTTACAAATAAAATTCTAGCTCAAACTGAGATGCTTTTTTCTCTTCAACCACCATTGCAAATTGCAAATCAATAGCGCCCATTTAGATCATTTGTTTTCCTCCGCCAGGGTTACGCACATTGTTCCCTTGAAATATGTCCTTTTTATCTCCATATTGTTCGCCAAATTATTTGATGTAAAAAGCTTAAAAAGCGGAAGAATGTCGGTTCTCATCATTTTGGCTTGAAATCTCACCAATGATGCACTTTTCATTACAAAATAATTCAAATAGTACGCGCGCTCTGATTGGCCATAAAACCATTTTACATGAGCGTATGTAAACACGGTTTTCGTTCCTCTTTCATTAGTTATTTTGTAAAAGAAATGTAATCGATAAGCTTCGCGTCGTGGTTTCCTACGCTTATCTCGTGTTCTCCCAACCTCCCGCGTGTTTACATCAGGCTATGTAAACACGGAAACCACTTTTCATTTCTTCATTGTGGAGTATTTTTGTCCAGAGAAGTTCTATTACTTTTTGGAAAAATGGCAGTGGCAAAAATTGGCCAACCGACACTGACTAATCACTTGTTTTCCCAAGAAAAAGATATATGGAAAATTCGACGTTTAGCCAAGAGATGGCGAAACAAGAGCAAAAAAACAACTAATGCTATTTTCAGCAATACATACGTGCAACTACGACTGATATTTCGTATGTTCGTGTAATTCAGAAACCCAATAAATATGGTCATAAAAAAAGAATGGATAACTGCTATCACAATTTCAACAATTTCTAAGCCAACTTAATCACAGTCTAATTCTCTCAACTCGTAAAAATAATTGACATTGATAACTGTAAGTAATGCACCCAGCGAGTAAAGTGCAGGTAGAATTACCAAGGTTTAAAACTTCAGCAGGTGATTCAGATTCCTACAAACTATTGAAAGGCCGAGAAAAATCTGTGATTTGACAACGATTGCCGTAAATATTATGTAGTTCAATATTCCAAAAAAATTATACGCGATTGCAAATTTTAAAAATCTCTTCATGTTAACAAACAGAGGTACATGGTTCACTTCTTGATTGTAGTTGGATCGCATCAGTCAATGAGGTATCTCCCTACTTTCTTTTTAGTAATTATAGGATCAGCGAAATCCAAAAGAAAGTCATGCATAAAATTAACATAGCCCCTTGAGCAAGGAAAAAACAGATAGTACAAATCTGAAAGGAAACAGCTTTGAGAGAGGCAGCGTTGACGATTTGATAAAACAGTCACAGGCATTAGCGGGGCTGTCTCGTCTGGGTGCCTGATGTCTACCTGGGGGTCAGCAGACGTAAAACTTCCGCTATCTTCCATTGTTAACGTATCGATACAACTTGGGCCAGTGTCTGCCACCATGAAATCAGTCTAATCGCACAAAGGTTGGCGCTGAAGATGAAAATTTAAAAGCTGTAAAGAAGTTGATACTTGTATATGACCGCAATCGATCGAGTACCCGTGATTCTGAACATAATTGCAGTAGTACACCCCGAATATTTTAGAACAAGTAAGGTTGGGAGCATCAAATAATTTCAGAATACCTTAAGAACCTAGATAATGCCACCCAATATAGCTTGTATAATTGAGACTGACTGTTCCAGTTACGACTTTGTAAATACGATAAATCCATACGGTGTCCATAAGCTCATGACGTTGGTCTTCTCTGACTAATAAAAAGAGAAACCAGCCCACTTAAAATTGTTGGGAAAAATAATACGTTCTAGAAACTTACAGCTACGAGACGACAGTTATGTGACTCATGCTATTCATACAACACCTACATATAGCTAGCGTAACATGAATATCAAGTTGGCAGTTATGTCTAACCCAACATTTGAGTAATTCATAACTTTCATTATCGTAAGTAAATATCTTCATCATCATCATCATCATCATCTTTTATTTGCCTTATTTATACAATACAAAATATTTATTTACAGCGGTTATAGCTAGAAGGCGAGAAGACCCTGGAAGCTTACATTAATAAATAAAGTAAAGAAAAAGTGCTGCGAATGTGCGACCAAATTCAGTGATTATTTAAGTAAAAAATCTTGCATTTTCGTCTTAAAACTAAGAAGGTTTGATGAAAGAGCGACTGAAACAAAGGAGACTTCAAATTTTAGGACCTTAGTATATAGAGAATTGTAAATTGCTTGAGATTTGTACGGCACAAATGCGTTCGATAATTACGGGCTGTTCTGGTACCATAGTTGTGAATTTGGCTATTCGTTACAAAAAGATTGAGAAGTAATAGAGGCAATAACTTTTTTCTATAATAAAACATGAATTTGGCGATTTCAAACGTACTGACTTGGAAAATATCTAAAATTCCTAGTCTAGTTTGGAGAATAAAGGAGTGGCGTGCTAAGGTGTTGAACATGAATGACATCACTCGTATGTTACATGTACAATTATGGGCAAATCACAAATCCTGTTACTTTTGACCCTCGGCACAATATCTACCTTTGTCATCAGAAAATTTGCAAACTTTGCGCCTCTTTGGTCCTGGCTTTACTTGGTTTTATTTTAGGAGTTTTGCTCCTTTTTAATCAATGTTTCATGACCAGCGGTTAACTCATCTTTATTCGAAAAAAAATCTGTGTTTGACAAAGGCGAGTGTTCAACCAAAGGCATTAAGATCTCCGGATCCCAGCGGAGCAGGTTACTGCGAGAAGGTCGCTGGAAGATTTGTGACAAATCAATTGTTGGTGAACTTTTTAACGAAATACCTTTTCTCAACAACTCGCCAGCTTTGCATGATTTTAAATTCGTGTGATTGGAAAAACTAAGTTTAAGTATTTGACTTGAATCCGATCGAAACAAACAAACAAAAAATCATTTTCGACCAAAGTTGACCTGGAAGGCAGTCTTCTTCGAACGAAGGCCCTGCTCTATTGATTAATTTTTTTTTTATTTCCTTCGTCAAACCTAGAGAACATTCGGATGTGGCATTATTACTCAAAGTTCACCTCATCTAAACTCTTGGAAGTTTCAAAATTAAGTTTCAAATTACTTATAACTGGACATGGTTTGATGCTACTCTGGTTTACAGATTTAATGAATGTAACCAAAGAAGGCTTAGCAAACGATATGACCATTTAAGGTCCAAGGCTTAAGAAATCGTTGTTAAGAAATCGTCGTGATTTCGCGGCGCAAATTTCAAAGCAGATCGATCAATCTCTTCAATCTACGCAGCTACGTTACCATCAATCGTAACTAGGCTATCTTCAATCTTACTTCGCCCTTTTCATCTGCGATTTCACACCGATCTTCTTATTTTCGTTTGTAATTTTGATTACGTGCTTCATTTGATTAAACCGTGATTTATATTGTGCGTTCAGGTTGTCTTCTCCGCTACACTAGTAACCTTTGAAGGTTACAAGATCTGCCAGACTGTTTTGTAAATAAAATAGAAATTGCGTCAAATCTGGAACTTCCGCCCAAATTAATTTGTCCTTACAAATACAACACCTTGCGACATGCATTCCAGATAAGGTGACTGACTTAATCGATTTCTCTTTCAATCAAATGCAAATTTAATCCTGACCATGTCTCGGGTCTGCAAAATAGCAATTGTTGTTAATAAGGTATGCGACTTGTTTATACACCAATTTTTTTTTCCTAGCGAGGGAGTGATCGGCTGCAAAAGGTGCTTAAATTTTGAGCGAAGTTGGCAGTAGTAGCGGATTCTTAATTCATCTTTAGATGAATCCTTGAAATTGAGAGACTTACTTTGACAAATAGTTACCACTGTTAAATTATAGTCTTAAAAAATTGTTACCAGCAAGGCTTGTGAGGGGTCTGGTCGATTCCCCGTAAAATGAAGTGAACACTCGCATTTGGGAAGTAGAACAATCGAAAAAAGACAAAACAACAAAGGAACAAATATAAATAGATTCCCGGTTGTTGAAGTCACCCATCCAAGCTGCAGAACCACTTCAGCCAATAATAATGTAATCTCTAGTTCTTTAATGCTGCTCCAGGGCAGGCAACTTATTGCGGCATATCGCGAAAACTAAGAAGTATAAGTTGCTTGCACTTAGATCAACTCCTCGGCAGATATTTATGATATTTTGTCGCTCATGAAAACTGATGTCTGCACGAAAGAAAGGTCGACTGTGTGTAGAAAACCGTAACCACAACTGTCACAAGACGGCAAAGATTAATCTAATGTGGTCAAAAACGTCACTAACAAAATATCAAATACCCTCTCGTTGTTGAAAGGCAGACAATTTGACCTGAAGCGTTGCTATTTTGCTGAAATGTCAATATAAAAAAACAGACTCCCATGGAGGGATTACAATTTGTATAAATGTTGTGGTTTACATCTTCATAGGTTATACAAAGACTATACAAACAATCTATGTTCAGCCTTTCTTCCTGACTAGACATCCTGAAGGCCATTACGGTTTAACCAGGGGTTGCAATGAAATTAAACCGCTTATCGGCGGTCTACCATCACCAGCTACGTCAGTATCCTAAATTCTGCCAAAGATGTGCCCATCATCACGGAGTATTTTGCTCCAAAGGAGTCCAGTCCCCATTTTGTAGAATGGTAGGTACAGAAACATACTGACACTGTTTGTAATAGCACCTTTCTCCTTCGGAAATCTTTCCTTTGCGCCAGCAAGCAAACATAAAATTACAGTGAGATGAAATGTTGTAACAATCAGATTAGCAAGCAATCGAACAAAAAAGACAGTCAGAGCTCCCTTAAATGTCGATGTTTAACCTTGTACAAGGTCACAAATTTTCGTCTGATTAAGTGCTCCCAGCATGATCGTCTGTGACAAAGCACTTATAACAAACGTAACGCTAAGTGCAGTAGTTAATGGAAAGCTGTACATGAAGACAAAAGGGGAAAAAATTTCAATAATGTTACCTGAGAGGGTGAGAAAAAAACAAAACAACAAGGTCCAGAATCTTGGTAAACGACTCAGATTTTTCATCATTGTGAAGCAGCCTATAAAGAGCGGTGAAGTAACTATCACTCCGAGAAAAATCCAACAATTCAAGGTGTCAAGAGAATTCAAGGTCATTAGTGTTATGGAATATGTCTTTGTCATGCTTAAATAGGAAACATCCTCTAGTTGATCTTCAGAAGTATTTCTTTTTCCATCATTAACTGGCCCTTGAGTTGCATTTTTAGATGTGAAAATAGGTGAAACAATTTTCCAATATTCGTAAATATAAAAACCAACAGCAGCTATTTCAGCAAGTAAGAAAAATGAGTATGACATTTTGAGATTCCAACGGAGGGAAGAGTGCTTCCATATTATTCGTGGTCTGTCGTCTGGTATCAGTGAAGGATTGTCCTCATCTCCAGCCATGATACCTGTGAATCGTAAACAAAGAGTAAACATTGAACAATTTGCACTTTAAAGTTAATTAAAGCTCAAACAAAGTTGTGCCTAACTTCCTGAGGCATTTACAACTGACATCCAATTAAAAAACAGCAACAACAAAGAAAATAACACCACAAACAGTTGCAAGGACTTATTTATTCAACATGTTTTGTTAAACTCCATTGAATTAATTAAAACAGAGAACTGAAAAACAATTGGATTCAAGTACTTGAAAATAATGTGCACATTCAAAAAAATATTCAGTTAAATAGTTTCTATGAAGAAAAAAAAATTAAACTGTGTTTAACAAAACAACTTTTAAACATGTTTAAGCTTTGGTGTGAATGGGGCATTATATAAGAAATCATAAAAATTAAAGTAACAAAAGATATATGAATTATCCTTAATGAAAAAAACTGGCCTGACTCTTCTTGTACGTAGCCAGAATAAATTATTTACACTGTTGTGTTCTAATCCTGGCTCGTCAAGGATCGGACTCGTCACTGGTTGTGTGTCACTTCAAAATCCGAATTAATTTGATTAAATTTAAAACATCAGTGATATGTCGATGGAAATACAAAAGAGTCTTGCTGAATTAAATGCAACTTTGTATTAATCACTAATTCCTATCATTTAAGGTCAACGAGATCTTTTGTTTAACAAATGATTTTTCAGTTGGCCGCTTGCGAAAACCAAATCATGATGCAAGCAGACGCTAGCGTGAGATCTTTCGATTGCGGATTTCATGCAGGTTCTACGCAGCTCAAACTGAGTGTCAGCATTGCTCCCGGAACTATGTAGTTTAAAATTAAAAACAGCACTGATCTGGACTATGCTGTCTATCAACCGCCTGACCTATAAACTCTGGAGAGTACTACCTCATGATTGATCTGTCTCGTAGATGCGTGACAATAATCACCCATTCCTACTTTCGCTTTCATTGACCATCCATCCCCGAGCTCATACTAAGCGATTTATGGTTAGATGTTGCCATAATTTGTTTCTTTTTCGTTCGACTACACGTAAACGAACCATCATTAACATCTAAGTATTTATAATACGTAAGAGTGCAGCAGTATACTTATTTGGAAGAGATTTGTTTCTTCCGCCTTAGCTTTGCTACCTGAAGCAGTTCTACTGAGTTGAATTTCTGTGCAATCTTCTCTTTTCGTATTCCTTTCACTTATTGTTCATGTTATGTGTCGTTGACAGAAATGGTTTGTTATAAACAAAGCTCAACACCTACCCAAAGCTTCCGTGAAAGCAAACTGCGTTTTAGTCGATTGCTCTTAATGTTGCACGACAATCAAATTGAGACCATAGTACATCCGGGAATTTGCTATATAAAGACACGTCATAATACAACGCTAAACTGGTTTTGTTGTTGGGCTTTAGTTTATTTTATTTTTTCAATATATCTTTTTTTCTTCAAAAAAAAATATACTCCTCGTCAGAAAATTGCTCCTGCTCTAATTTCTTAATCATAAATTGGTTTCATTTTTGTAGCTGCTGTCTTAGTTACCTTATTTTGAAGCGTTAAACAGCACTTTTAATAGAGAAAGATGTTTTTTTTCGTCTTGTCACGAGCGTGGGCAAAAGAAAAATTCCGAGTCCCCATGAGGAATTGAACCTCAGACCTTCGGATCCCGCGCTGCAATGCTCTGATGCTCTGAAACTCTTAATGGTTTAACATTGGATGATAAGCTTAAGTCACATATAACAATTAGTAATAAGCGATCAAGGCAAAACGCATGCAAATCCTGTTTCATCAATTTACATGAATATTTTACATAGGGATGGCAGGAACATGACAGCCAGAGGACAAAGGAGGCGTGTGGGGAAACACGAGGGGTCGTCGAGTGTTCCGCTTGACTCCTTGATTAGTTTGAGGGGTTTAAAATCAAGGCGAACCACGTAAGACCCAATTCCTTCCTTTATATTACAGCTTTACGCAATTGCTACAAAAATTTATATCTATTTAGATGTCGATAGGTTTTGCAAGAGGAAATACTCACCGTGCTGACTTGCACCGGCCTGACTTTTTCTATGGATCAAATCGAAACTGCGTCAAGTCTTGGATTTCCGCCCAAATTGTTTTTACCAAAATAACACATTACGTCATCCTTTGCTGACTAGACGAGGTTATTTTAAGATTACATTAGCTTACTAACCAGAAAAAACGGTTTATGCATAACTTTTCATAGGAAGAACAGTAACCTATTCTGTTTAAAAGTGTTATCAGTTGTTTGGAACCATTTAAGTGCTTGACGGTCATAGCGAGACCTACGTGCTTGGGCAGCTTTACTCTGGCATGTGATGCACAATGAATAAGATCCTGCCCAGCCATAACAATCTTCCGCTCATCGGTTGTACTCCTTGCACTAGAAGGTGAGTCGTCGCTGTACTGTTCTCCAGTAACAATCCACCTGATAAGCCAATGTCCTTTTTATTTTCTAAAAATCCAACTTCTTTTAATTAAGCTTATAACTCAGCAAGAAAACTATAGCTTGACAAGCAGTAGATAAAGGGTTAATAGTTTTTTTCTTAGGGGGGGTGGAGAAGCTTGGGGAGAAAATTACTTTTACCTGGGATACTAAGATTTCTATAACTGCACAGCTAAGCCACATAGCCATACCTATATATATATATATATATATATAGTATGGTTAGCCATTTTCTTATTCAAGGAGGCACTTGGTTCCATTAAAAATTGTAAAAACAAAATCAAATACCCAAATCACATGTGATTTTCATGTAATAGTAGAGTAATTCACCGACAGATATTCATTAAAATGTAGTCGCTCGAAATTAAAGCTGACTGAATGAGGAAACTCGACTTAGTAGAAACTGCTACAACAATCGTCCCCATCGGCAATTCCAATGTGCCCACCTTCCCCTTCCCCCCCCTCCCCCCCTCTCCTTCTACCCAAATATAGAGATAATGGAGAGGAATGGATATAAACAAATCCAACGACAAAAATTAACAAAAAGCTTAGCAGTTTATTACACTTACTTTACCGTAAAACAGGGTAAAGTACTTTAGTTCTAGAGGAAACTTATTTTTCCGGAACTCTCTACAATTGCCAGAAAAAAATGTCAAATGTCAGCAACACTTGTTTAGAGGCAAAGGGAACATCATAATAAGCCGGGTCCGGTGTAGATCTGTGGTCTACACCCTATGCTCCCAACAGAAGCGAAGATCACCCTTTTTATATTACAATCTATGACAGCTCCACTTTTAGGTCACTTACTGTCATATTTCAAGGGTTTAGGTTACGGCTATTTGTGACAGGACCACCATGATGTTTGCTGCATAAGTAAACACTTATATGGGCCTCGTGTTACAGCATCAGGAATTTTTTCTTTACATACAAAGCATAATACTGGTTTTAATTGTGAAAGTACTTCAGGTATTAGTTTCTGTCCCTCAGGGCACTAGACAGTCACCCTGGCATTTACACATACCTCACATATGCAATCATTAATTTCCTTTTCTCTTCCACAATTGCAAAAGTTGTTTGAATTTAATTGAGAAGGAAGCAGAGACTTAAAATGAGAAGTATAAGAACTTAGCATTGGTTGATGCTCTGGCAAATAAAATGCTCTTACATAATTAGCTCACATGACTTGCCACCATTTCCCCTTTTCAGTTGTTGTATTAGATCTATTTGTCAAATCAAAGTCATTTTTAACCCCAGAGTGTTTAATCTCTTTTGCCGATAATGATATTATGCCATAACCCACTATGTAACTTCCATTCAATTTAGGTGCATGATATAGTATCGCATACCCTACTGTCCACACAGTTACTTTAACATCTGATGAAAAAATAATGCATATGAATTAAAGTGAAGTGTACAAAATTCTGTAAGCTCACCAAGGTAGGAAGGGCTGACTTCAATCTTGTTAAAGAGAGCCCTGCCATTCCTAAGGAACTGAGCAATTTTTCCCAAGGCTTACCTTTCTAGTGTCTGAGCTGGGGACTCATCCAAGACTTTAAGGGCGTCAATGAACCTAAAAGAAAAGTTTGCCAAAGTAATGGCATGGTCTCCTATCAATCATACCGGAAGCTTCTTGTGCCTCTTAGCCCCATCATTATAGCAATCCTTAATCACAGAAGCTAAGTACCCCAACCCACAACCAAGTTCACCAAAATCCTCCTTATGGTAACTTAACAATGCATTGCCCACAAACATTTGGTTGGAAGTATTCACAAAATCAACTCCAGTGGATTGTTTTCAAGTACCATTATTATATGGAACATAAACGTGTGAATTTCTATTCCCATTTTGATTTTGCCCCGAAAAATTGCTGGCCATGCGAAGATTCTTCCTCAAATGGTCTTTACTCTACCGTAATGACACACAATGACCAGCGATCTGTGGAGAATCCAATATGTCTTCGAGCGCTTGATAACATCGGGGTTCGAAATGTACTTATTTACGGTTTCCACGATTGATAATACAAACAAATGGAGTCTGTATATAATGATAAAGCTTTTATACTTTTGATAGGTAGGATACAACGAGAATAGAAAATTACCCAGGATGGATTTCCTCCTCACGACGCGCCTAATTCACATATACAGACGACTTCACCTCGAAAACACAAGTCCGAGATTGAAAAGATACCTTAGCATGGAAAAAATATCCTTACCCCCGAGAGTAAAAATTTAACCCTTTCTCGGTAGCGTTCAAACAAGGAATTTGTCTCAGAAAGGGACTGAGTAAAACCCTCTTTCCGTCATCAAACAGAAGCATAAACAAGCTTTATTATTAGAAAGCCATAACTGGAAGGTTTGGCAACTGTGTAAGATGCAACAGCGAAATTTAATATCTCCAGTACCGCTGAGCTATCGGACGCGAAAAAAACAAAGGCCTGAAAAGATGGCGTGTCAAGAGGGACTCGCATGACAACGAACCACCGTGCTATTTATGCAACTGCTAGCGGAATATGAATTTAGTAGCCCTGTTTGACCCTGCCAGTATCGAAAAATAAATAAATAAATAAAACTGCACTAAGCTGGACTATGCTGTCTATTTACTGCCTGACCTATAAACTCTGGTGAGTACTGGCTCACGATTAATCTTGTAATTAGTCTCGTAGGTGCGTGACAATAATCATCCACTCCTACTTTCGCTTTCCTTTTTCGCTTTTCTGTGACAATCAATGCTCGAGCTCAGACTAAGCGAGTTATGGTTAGATGTTGCGATAAAATATTTCTTTTTCCTTCGGCTACCGTAAACAAACAACCCTTAACATCTAGATAAAGATAAATCGTTTATTAAAAAAGAAACACTTCGCAGTCCGAAGACTGAATTACGTGTATAATATACAAGTTATAATTAAAATGGATTAAAAAAAACATAATGATAGAAATGTACAATCTAATAAAAACATTTCACATAGGATAACCTTGTGTTAGGAAAATATACATACTTAAACAAATTCATTTACATACTTCTTTAACAATGAAAGATTTTAAGACGTTTCTTCCACTACCTTTGTTGTGCTATCTGAAGCAGTTCTACTGCGTTGAATTTCTGTGCAATCTTTTCTTTTTTATTCTTCTCAATTATTGGTCATGTTTTGTATCGGTGATAGAAATGTTTTGTTACAAACAAAGCTCAACATCTACTCAAAGCTTCCGTGTAAGCAAATTGCGTTTTAGTCGATGATCAAATCGAAACTATATTACATCCGAGACTTTTGTTAGATAAAGACACGTACAACGCTCAACTGATAAATTGTTTGGGGTTTTTTCAATCTCCTTCTTGTGAACTTAAAAGCTACAGTTATTTATTTTCTGTTTTGCAAAAATTTAGTTACCCTGGGAAACCTTTCCTAACCCCAAATTGGCTTCGAATGATAGAAGGTTCGTTTTTCAAGAAGAGTTTTAAATCTTAACTTAGGTCACCAGCCGGTTATAAATACTGGCCAGCCCTTTATCAAGATGCACCGAATCAACCAGGACGCATTAAATAACCTTTTTGGCCATACCGAATTTCTTGAAACTAAAGTTCAGTGACATCATTTCGGAATTCTCTGAGCTGATTTAGAAATAATATGGTTGATGAAATGGTGAGATTAAAGCGGACCCCGGCCTTTCCTATGGGAAAAAACGCCAAGAGGAAGTCATCTGTACATCCCACGCTCAAGACACACGATCATCCTTGCTAATAACAGCTTCTAATGAATTCGCATCTTATCTGTTTGTATCAAACATGTCAAAGCCTTTACACTACGCGAAAGGTTTTCTATACTAAGTATATATTGAAGCACACGAAAATCGAATGGAGGGCCCCAAACACATTAAGG